GATGAACACTGGTTGCTGAATGTAATAGAAGCAGTATATGATGAAGAAAAACACTTGAGAATAAATGCATCGTTTAGTGAATGGTTCAACACTGAGTAGGAAGACAATGATGTGATGTCCGCTTGGTTTCTTAGTGTATTTATTGAGAAGTGCTTATGATAACATTAAAATTGTGCTAGTTCAGGACATGAATGTATGTCTAATTTTATATGCAGACGAAGCCCTACTGTTAGCTGAGAACTCAAACTGGCAGCAAGTGTTAGACTGTATGATGCAATGAGGCGCATGGATTAATGTATCACAGAGCAGGGTAGCTGAGACTGACAAGGGAAAAAGAATGAACAACTGCATGGTCGTTATTTATATAAATGAAAAAATACGAATGTTGCTCCTTGGTAGAATGTTTACTAAAGATGGGAAAAGATTGCAAGTTCTAGTCCCCCCTGAGGCACAAAGCCCCTTGGGCTGGTCCTCCTCTCTCAACTCAGGAAGGCGGCAGCGGCGGCCAGGGCAGACCCACTTCTGAAAAGGAAAACTGCAGGGCCTCCTCCAGGCAGTTACTAGGAGAGGACTCCCTTGGAGGCACCCAACCAACCAACCAACCAACCAACCAACCAACCAACCAACCTAGTTTTAGCTATTTTTGCTTTGTTTTTCCTACATCACGCCTTTAATTACTTTGACTCTATTTCTTTGTTTGCTTGCCCCAAATGGGAATCGCATGATACGTATGTATGGGAGGTATGCATATTTATATGTAAGTTGTAGGAAGGTTGTATATTGGGGAAAACGTCCAAGCGAAAGACCAGTTTGACAATGGAACCAGTTCCCCAGGGAAGTGCTGGTCTCCCCTTCACTGGAGGTGTTCAAACGGCCGCTAGAGAGCTATCTGCAGGCTATCCCTTTCAACAGAGAGGAGTTATGTATGGCTGGCGTGCACGGAAGAGGGGGGCAAGCATATTCCTGGAAAGATTTGCCAAACACTAGCTCCAGCGGGGATGGCGGCCGTTCTTTTGTAACAGCTCCCCTCCTCAGGAATAGCTTGCTCCCTGAAGCAAGGATGGTGCCGTACCAAACTAATTTTAGCTCATTAATTTTAATACTGAATTTGGGGAATTCGATTTTGGATTTTACAGCTTTAATTGATTATAATAACTGGTTTTTGTACCATATTTTATTTTATAAGTTCTGTGAGCCACCTAGAGTCTATTAGGTTTCAGGCAGTAGACAAATCTCACAAATAAATAAATAAATGTTGGGTTTTATTTATTAAATTTATATCTCACCCTTTTGCTTAAACACCACTCAAGAAAAAATGGACAAATATTTAGCAAAAAATGCTAAAATCAAAGTCTTGCAGAAACAGCATGTCTTCACAGGTGATACAAGGGTGATGACCAGACACATCCGCCGCTGAGGACCAACACAGGAGAAGCCCAATTCCCTCCACAGAAAGACAAACCAGACAGCAAAGGCCTCTTTGAAAAACACGAGCCAGGCATAATATAGCAGCCTGACTTTAAGTCCCTCTCGTGCCTATAAGCAGCTGGCAACCAGGGCAGGTCTTCCAGGGCGGAAGTCATGTGATTCCTGTACTTTGTACCACTTGGCTGTTGGGCTGTTGCATTTTGCACCGACTGCAACTTCCAGATACTTTTCAAGAATAGCCCATAGATAGGATGACGCGAACAAACAATGATTTTGTTTTCTTTACATGTTAGGTGAAACTGTGAGCAATTCAATCTAGTTACCAAATTTTCTGGGTTCTCATACTATATTGACTCAAAAACTAAACAAATGGATTGGAATCACACAGACATAAAAAACTAGCCAACAAAAGTGGTTGTGTGAATTACTTTAGATTAAGGCTTTTTATGCAAATGTAGGAGTGCCACCAGAAACTGGATAATTTTTTTCTACTTGTCACTCCTGAACTAATGTAAGATACATAAAGTTGTTTTACTCTTTAGTGGCTGAATTTGAATATTTGTTATTGCTCACTCAAGTTGCAACTACTAATCCTTAAATTTAACCTAATCTTGCCGTTTTGCAAAAACATATATACTAAACTTCTGGATACCAACCAAAAAGCCCATATTTGCAATATGATAGTGTGGTGACTTGGGTCCAGCCCCCCCCGCAATAAAAAAAGTAGTATTTGGGGGGGAATAATCCTCCTTCCATGCATTCCCACAAAGTCCAGAATGGAATTTTCCCTACCCGCCCACCTCTAGAAATGAGGAAAAATTGGGGATGGGCTGCAGGAGAGAACTAGCAAGAATTGGAGGGTTTTAGCAGCTGTCATTACTTGCTGACTTAATACTAATACTGTATTATAATAGTCATATTCGAACTACCAAAGGATAGCTAACAAACACTCAGAAAATGAGATGGCACCATAAAAAGTCAAGTAGGAATTGGAGGAAGAAACAGACACCTGAAAATTGCCTCCAGGTTGAAGGGTAAGCTGGCTGCCACAACTTTTCCGAGGAACCTTTTTTTACCACCTCTTCCTATTTCCACACACTGACCCTACTTCATTTCTGAGCACCAGGAAAATGATTGATTAAAAGATGCAACTGGAGCCTGTGAACCTGGATCAGAACAACCCTTGTGCCTTCTTCCACAAAGCCACCATGTTCTGCAGAGAAAGAGAAAGCAGGGATGGCCAGTTCAGGGTCTCCCTCCCTTGCATCACCCCAAAGTAGCATGAATCCAATTCAGGGAGCCCAGACAGCTTCAGGAAGAGGGCTCTGATTGACATCCTGGGTGTTTTACCTGTTGGCCAAATGGCCTGTTGTCAGGTCACCTTTGTTGAAAGGACCTGCACTGCAAGGGTGAGGCAATACAGACTATAGAACCATTTTCTAAAACTTCTTTACAAACCAGAAGTGCAATTCAAAGTTAATCAGAAGCTGGAATTGAAACACAGTTTTAAAGTCCAGATGAAAGTCAAAGATGGTTCTCCCTCACTGTGTCAGACAGAACTCAAGATCATGGCACGGTTAGGCTAAATCATCCCGGGATTCCCTCTCTGTTCACAAAATGCCAAGTCGCTTGGTTTAGAACTAACATGAATCTGGCAGATTAAGGATGGATTCACAAAGCAAATGAAAACCAGGTTAATAAAATTGCTGTCTTCATATAAAATGCTCTGCTTAATCATCTCATAGCTTCATGTGGTGGCCTGATTCACAGAACATGTTAAGGCATGGGTTTCTCACAACATCCTAAATCTGTTGTTAAGCACAGCCTAATTGTGGGTGTCATCAGCTGTTGCCTTTGAGTGTTCATGCCAAAAGAGTTCTGCATTTGCAGCCGAAACAACTCAAAATCTCCAAGTGAACCAAGCACCAGTATTTCCATTGCTCTCTCTAGAAGACACCTATTTATCAGGACCTTTCATGCAACAATGTCATCAAGGGTGAACAGTCTCAAACCCAGGGTTACTTGCGGCCCACAAAAGCTTGGGTGTGGCCTTCAGAACACCTCCACAAATTGCCACCAAATTTACTTTTCCCCCCCAGAAGCAAGCATATTACACATATTTAATTAGTTCAGCCAAATCTAATAAAATTAAATTTAGCTTTTGCCTTGGACGCATCTACTTTTTGGAACCTGATCCCTGGGGGAACTCTCAAGGCCCAAGATGAGGCTTGGCCCAAGAAATCTGTGCATTCCTGATCTACATAAAATCCTTTGGAGTTTCAGATCAGGTGACTTTGGCATTTGGATGTCACAGACTGCAGATTTCTGGGACTGCTTTGAAATGGATGAAGGCAAAAAAGCTAAAGCTCAGTTCAGAAAAGGGAGAAATAGGATCTGGTTGGCAATCCTGAAAACTATTTTGCTCCCCGGGGACGGAATAGGGAACCTCTGCCCCACTCAGGGGCCCTTCCCTGCATCACCCACAACCGGCTGAAAGACTGGGGAGTCAGCTCTGCTCCAGCTGTGCCTGCCTTTTCCCGTTCAGAAAAGCGGGGGCAGAGCACGAAGCCAGGAGCCTTTAGGAGGACACAGGGCCACACACGGCCCTTGCTGGTTCTGGGTCGAGGCAGGAAACCTTTGCCCCACACCTGCTGCAACCAGGAGAAAAGTTCTCCTTTGGGACGAGGAGGAAGGGATGGGTCTCCCATGAGCCAGCCCCAGAGGTTTTTGCCAGGCAAAGCAAAGGAAGGTGGTTGGCTCCCCAGAGAAGAAAGGGGAGACATTTCTGCCAGGTCAAGGCTTCATCTCCATTCGGGGCCACTGCTGGACTCGCCTGGGGGAGAGGCAGAGGGGCTGGGCTGGCCCCCTGCCTGCTGCCTGCCTGAGAAAAACAGGCCTCACCTCTGGGCGGCACCCAGCCTCGATTATTGTTAACACCCTCTTCAGCGGGTTCAGAGAATACGGTACACTAAGCCACAATTAAATGTTGCCTTTAAAGCTGTGTAAATCCAATTGCTGTGCTTGGCAAAAGGAAAAAAAACTTTACGGTGTAGTAAACTAGGAAGCCTGAATTCCAGCTGATTTAGTCAATAATCCTGAAACAATTCTTCCCTTCACCAGATGTGGAACCCGATCGGAGCTGGGGCACAAAGCGACAGAAACCTGATGCGTGAACTGAGTCGGTGGGCTAAAATGAGCCGTGGGTTAGGGAGACCGGGGCCACCCGCCTCCCTCACCCGCGCTGCAGCGCTCGCTTGCCGCTCCCTCCCTGCCTCCCCCCCCCCGCAACTATCCTCGGAGGGCTGGTCGGAGGACG